CTTTACATGGACTTTCCTATGGACTCAAGTAAGTGTTTGAGCCCAGCGACTTTCAGTTCCTCTGCTCCTCTAACTGGTAACAAGGTCTCTATCTTGGACGCATCGCCATTGACATTGCACATAATAATGTGCTTCTGCCCCATTGACCGTAATTTCTAATTATTCGAATCAGAGTAATGAATACGCCCCATTATAGGAACGACCTGGGGGCTACGCCCCCAGGTCGTAAAAAATTAATTATTATTATTGACTGTTATACATGTAATGATAATTAAAATAAGCTATGGGTGTGGTCAACAACTAACTAAATCACGGCACATGGGTAGGAGAAAGAAGAAAAGCTGAAATTTATTTAGCATCTGAAGCTCTATGTAATGAAAGAGTTGGCACAAAACTGTTGCCTAGATATTTAAAAGAGACTGAGAGACTTTGGTTCCTCCTTCTTTCTCCAGTGCTGCCTGAAAATTTCTCAAAGAGGCTAAATCACAACATAGATATACGACTAACAGTCGTATATTTATGATTACAAACTTTGAGCAACTGTAACTCACAAACAAAGAAGTTAGGACAAAATCGTTCTTTTATTTTTGGGATTTTCTACCTCTGAAGCAAATCTCAGCCCTGTAGAGTGAAACACGAGCTCTCACTTGGAGAGAGGTCCCCTGGTTTAAGAGTTCCCAGGCTTTGGTGCCACAGGATGCTACAAAAGCATAACTAGATGAAAGAAAGAAACTTTATCTGTTGCTAGAAGAAGAAATATAGCTCTAGAATGCTCAGACAAAAAGATAGATTTTTTACAAATCAATTAAACTGTGTGGACAGAATGAATGAACGAGAGCACTAAAGTGCATACCCTCGCCACAATCTGTGTGTAGCAATTTTAATAAATTAAGAGAAAAATAATTAGTGAAAGTTTTGAGACAGAAAAGAAGCTTCAGCATATAAAAACTTAGTGAATGTTTTGAGACAGAGAATGTTCTGCTTTTTTTAAGACGAAGAAGCTCCAGCATGCTAGCTGAGACTATGCTTGCTGCACTGCAGCAATGTAAAGGTGTGGCTCAATCAAGCCATGTCCGTACCCGCCTATGCAAGCGTTGCGAATCCAATGATTATCATTGATTTTCATATTGATCTCCTTATGCTAGTTCATTCTACTGCCATAAGTGCATTTCTATGCTTTATGTGTCTCTAAGAGCATGAGTTATGTTTGTTTTGAATCTCTAGGGATTGTTTAAAAGGTACCATTTTACATTCACAAGAGGCTCAAGTCAAATGTCCTTATATGGATGATGATGGCGGATGTGAGGAATACATTTCAGATAGAGAAATACGTGAAGTAAAAAGCCGTCTATAGTATGTTGTCTTTATTCTATTTAATGCACACATTTAGGTATTGAATGACGAGGAGTTGGAATCATTCTTTAAGCGAGGCCTTCGAATAGCCGAGGCCACAGACCCTAACAGTTTTCACTGTAAGACAGCAGATTGTCCAGGATTCTGTTTTTATGAAGGCAAGGTAAGTTAATGAAAAGAGAAGGAACTATAGTTATTGGTTGATTTTCTTAATACACTGTAGGTGAATGAGTTTAAGTGTCAGAATTGTGATAAGCTAAATTGTATTTTGTGCAAAGCTCAACACGAAGGAATGAACTGCCAGGAGTATCAAGATGACCTGAAGATAAAGGCAGCTAATAATGAAGCAGAAAAAGAGACTCAAGCAATGCTTGAAGTAAAAATTGATACTATTAGCATACTTTTAACACTTACAATGTATTAATTTCTTCTTCTCTTCCCTTTCCTTCTCTAACTCGTTAGAAAATGATAGCTGATGGTAAAGCAATGCGTTGCCCAAACTGCAAGATTATTATTATTAAGAAGATCGGTAGTGATTGGATCAGATGTGTTTTGTGCAAGACAGAAATGTGCTGGGCTACTAAAGGGCCAAGATGGGGATCAAAAGTAATGTTTCATGCACCACATTGTACAGTGATTTTTGACACATGCTTGTATTGTACGTTTACATAATGTACAGTACAATGATTTTATGTAATTTTTATGAATGTTTGTAGGGTCGTGGTGATATCAGTGGTGGCTGTAGGTGTGGTGTTAATAATACCAGGTGTCATCCTAACTGTAGAAATTGTTTTTAGAAGTTGGGGAGAGGGAGGAGTGGCTCTCTTGTACTTAACAAAAATATAGAGAACGTGTGTAATTGTATTTAAAATATTATTATTATTATTATTATTATTATTTTGAATTATATTGTTACTTTTATTTTTTTTTATTGTTGAAATTTGCAAGGAAAGGTAAATTCTATACAGTGTACACTATTACCCGGTATACAAATCAGTAGCTGGCAGAGTCTTCCAATAATATGTATATATTGGGCATGCTTACTAAATACTAAATAAATACTGCATAATTGCGGTCAAAGGTATGTCATTGAGTTTATACAGGGACATCCAAAAAAGGCTAAGGCCTTATCATTTTTAACCCATCTTTTTATCTAAAGGACGGGAAGGACCTAGCGATTCTAATGGTGCAAACAAAATTTCTAAATTCCATGTTTATCAAAAGTTATAACACAAAATCAATAGGTCAGGTGAAATATAGGTAGTCATCATTATTAATACTTATAAAAGTGGTGAAAGTCACGTGGTTATTAAACTAGCTTGCACTTGCAGGGTCAAGCAACCTGCAAAGCACTGTACTGTGAACCATAATCCAAAAATCTCGACAAAATGGCTTCAAAACCATCACATTTCCCATTAAGTAAGTCAAATTATTTATAATACACTGATATACATATTTTGTGCGCAGATATTAGCAAGCTAAACTTTGTCTTACAAGTTTTGAGGCATTACAAGTTTCCTGAAGCAAGATGGTTTGAATTTGGATTGAATCTTGGTCTACTTCATCCTACACTAGAAGCTATTGAGTCAGCTTATAGAGGCAACCCTTCACGCTGCCTGATGGAGTGTTTAACCAAGTGGTTGACTAAAGCTGATAATAACGTCACCACTGTTGGTCCTATTATCTGGAAGACACTGGCTATTGCACTCCGTGGAATCAACGCAATATCTGTTTCTACTGATATTCACAAAACAAGTAATTATTGAGGGGTTCACAACTCCAAATAATCCCGTATAGTCGTACACTGACTACACTCTTGAAAATAATCTATTAATCTTGAACCAGTAATCTTAGGAAATCCCAAAATCCTTAAAAATAAAATAATTTTTAGTGATGGGCGATTCCGAGTCCGGAGTATTTAATCCTTTGATTCTGAATGGAATCGTACTCATATCGAAAGAGAAGTGGTAATCGTTTGAAATGATTCCGAATTAAAACCACATCCAACCACGCCTTTTAATATTAATAATAGTTAATAAATCATTAGTTAATACCTTAATTATTCATTATTATTGCATTTTTATACCTGTAATTGATATCACATGGCTTTGCACAGCACATGTGCAGATGTAGTACTTGGAACTGGTATTTGATTCCATCAATTCCAGTCTCAAAAGTATTCAGAATTGGAATCGAATGCAAATTTCTGGATTTGCCCACATCTATTAATCTTAATGATTATTAATAGCTATAAATAATTAATAAAATAATTTCAAAAATCTTAAGTATCTCAAAATAATCTCTGGTAATTTTAAAAATATGGTGAGTCTTTTAATCTTGTGCATCCGATGAAAATAGGAGTTGCAGACCCCTTAGTAATAATATTATTATTGTTATACTTTGTTTATATTTTTATTAGTGGCAGATCCTGTTAGTGAGATATTGCAGTGTTATATTGGTAGACTAGCTCAAGTTGTTCTTACTGAAGAATCAGTTGATCTCTTACATACAGAGGGATTGATATCTAAGGATACATTAACAGAAGTGAAGAGTTGCGGTTGTCCATTGGTAGGAATCCAATGTTACTAATATTAAGTGCTGTAGCTAAAAATCACAGCAAGTTATACACTCTGACTAACATTCTAATGAAATCAAAGGAAGCAGTGTCTTTAGCTAGTGATATAATAATGGAACATGGTAAATGAACAGTTTTATCAATGCACTTAACTTATTCTAATACAATGGAAAAGTCATTTCCTTCAGTAGAAACAGTGATGCCATCTTGTCAACAAGCAAGCAGCAGTAAAACTCAAGTAACTACCACTACTGATGTTACTGCACAAGGTTAATGACATTTAATTCAATGTCATTACATGTATACTATAATTTATAGGTGTAATAGAGGTCAGGGTTAGTCCTGGCTATGAGGCTGAGTTTGATAAAATGGGTGATATGCTTGGTACGCTTATTCACAATATTGTACCTCTTATTAAAGCAGCCATACCTTCTGTCAATGATTTAAAGACATATATCAGACGATGTCGCCCTCGCTTAGAGAATCGATTGGAAAAAGCAAAAATGTTAGATGCTGTTATGCGAGTGATTGAGGATGAGTGTTCTATCACTAATGTTGCTCTATTGGAGACTATAGTGAACAAATACTCAATACAAGATGCTGGAGACATGATATTAGCTTATCAGACACACTTGGATGAATTCTGTGAGAACAAATTAACAATGTTTTGTAATCGTCAGCTTAAGAGATTATCCTCTTCTCTTCTCACTTGTGAGACAATTAAGTTTGTTCTGGAATGGAATCCAAGTGAGCGATCTCTTTCCGATATCAAAAACCTACTACACAAAACATTTCAAGATAATCAGGTTGAGGTGGTAACCATTGAGGAAGGGAACTCCATCATTGTTACTTGTTATGCTCTCATTATCTGATGGAGAGTTTACTAGTGACAGCTAGAGATAACGTTGATATGCTAAAGGAGATGGGATTGATTAGTTTAACTATTGGTTACTATACTGTGTATGATCAACATGCAATTGTTAGTGAATGTTGTGTACATATAAATTAATAGTATACTGTAGGGCGCCTTTTTTTAGGGCTATAGATTTTGCAGATTCTTATTTTGCAGATATAATTTTTGCAAATTTATGCTGTCTACCATTTTGTACTGTATTAATTTGATTTTTGGGGAAGTAATTTTTGTAAATCTTTTAAAAAATCGCAAAGTCCATGAAATTTACAGCCCTAAAAAAAGGCGCCTTACAGTACTTTAATATTCGATAGGAGGTGAAGAAGCAACTGGAAATGATAGAGAGTGAAAGAGATAATTTACTTGAGGAGAATGCTAAATTGAAGAGTACAATAGACGCATTAGATATAATACACATAATGCTAATTATTATTTATTATAATTATTATTATAGAGTTTGAGAAGGAAGACAGTAAAATGATAGAAAATGCAATTCAAATTGAAATAGATCATTTACAATCATCTCTTCAAAGCAAAATAGGTATATACACATACCGCATAGCGGGAAATTTTGGAGGGAGTTAAATTTGGCAAATTAATTGCTAAATTTTGTTGATTAGCAAATTTAATTTGGTGAATTTGTGGCCATGTATCATTTAAGCATGTGATAATGGCTCAAAATGGCAGATTTATTTTGGCAAGGGTGGAGTTGATACAGTAATCACGTATCAACATGGGTAGAGTATTTTTTGTGTTCACAAGGAGCTTCTACATTGTTAAAGCTAATTAATGGACAGTTGCTGGTATAACAATATAACGAATAGGTGTTGCCTTGTGGTGCCTTTGAACTCTGCTATAAAATTAAATGCAGCCCTGCTGTGTTTAGAGTATCATTATTGCTTGTACATGTACAATGTACATTAATCTACAAAATTTATTTACACTGTAGTATAGTTAATGTTATTGACTATTACATGTATGATAGGAGTAGAGGAAATATTGATTAAAAGAGAAAAGGAGATAGAACAGTTACAGGAAAAGATATCATTACTAAATATACAACATACCAGTATACCAGTCAAACCTTCAGAATTCAGGTATGGAGTTGGAATGATTAATCTTTATGAGAGATTGGGTATAATTAGTTAGAATGAATTAAATACATCGTTATTTGACTGGTGTCCTTTTTAAGGCATAAGATGCAAGAGAATCAGCAGCAAATTGAACCAACTCCCTCTGAGAGCTTAATTGATGACACAGAAATAGAATTAGCAAGTAAGTACAATATACACATACATATACTGTATGTATGCTTAAGTACATGTTGTAACTAGTGTTTTTGTAAAGACTTAGTTGTCTCTGTTTGCATTGAGTAAATTAATGCATAACTGTATCATATGGATAGTTGGTACACGTACATTTTAAAGTAGTATATAGCTAAGCATTTTTAGTTCTTTCTTTTTACTAGCTTTGTGCCTTTCTTTCTCTAGCTCAAATGTTAGCTGAATCCATCAGTATGATGAATCAAAGTGATTCTCATGACCTCCTTGATTATATATTTTTGTTGCTTCAGAATGAATCTTTCAATCCTACAGTCTCTTAAAAATTTCAGCAGCATGTTTGAACTCGGAATACCAGTCACATCTTCAGGATTCAAGTAATAAAATGGGCCCAGTAATTACGTATAGCTCAAAGTCAAAATTTTTTTAGAATCTTTTATTATTAGTTTTTGTCAATAGAATTTTTGTCATTTCATTTATAAATCCGCATGCTACCCATGTGAAGCAAAATTTTGTTGGTCAAAATTTTCATCAAACAAAAATGCCTGACAAATTTGACAAAATTTTTGACTGATAAAAATTTGGAGCTACATGTATACGGTAACTTTTATAAGCAATTGGGTATAATTACTTTGAATGAATTAAATACATTGCTATTTGGCTGGTATCCTTTTTAGAAGTAAAAAGCAACAGAGTCAGCAGCAAATTGAACCACTTGTTAAATCAACTCCCCCTGATAGCTTGATTGATGATACGGAAATAAAAATTGCAAGTAAGTACATGTATATGTAATGTACATATGTTTAATTGCATATCAAGGGTACATAATTCCTAAAGACTTAGTTGTCCCTATTTGCATTGAGTACTGGTCTTTAATGAACAGTTGTGAAGCATAGCTGTTTTATATAGGTATCAGTGCATGTACTGTATACTGCAAATGTTTAAGTAGTATAGCAAACATTTTAAAGTTAAATTTTTTATTAATTTTCTGTTTCTTTCTCTAGCTCAAAGGTTAACTGAATCCCTTAGTACAATGAATCAAAGTGATTCTCATGAACTCCTTGGTTATATATTTTCGTTGCTTCTGTCAGGACCTTCTGATGAGTCTTTACCTACAGAGTCTCTTGGAAAGTTTAGCATCATGTTTGAACCAGGAATACCAGTCACACTTTCAGGATTCATGCAATGAAATGGGAATGATTAACCTTTATGAGAGAGATTAGGCATAATTACTTAGAATGAATTAAATGTGTCATCATTTGATTTGTGCCCTTTTAGAAAGTTTTTAATTGACAGCTTTAATTTGCAACAATAACATGTTATTTTGATTTCATTATTATTTCATTTTTAGATTGGAGTTGAATGTAGAGCCATTACATGGGAAGACCTTTACTGTATATCCTGAAGTATTTACTAGCGATACAATAGAGAAACTTAAATTAGATGTAAGTTGATAAAATGCGCATAATAAGTTTTGTATACTACTTGCTTGTAGCAGATGCATGTGTTACAATTATTATTATGTGTATATTGTCCTGTATTTTTTGTTTAGCCTTTTTACTTTTCATTTTATTTCTCTCTCTCCCTCCCACACTCCTTTCCATCCTCTTTCTCTCAGTTACAAAAATATTGTAAAATACCAAAGGAGTGTCAATACTGGGTGATTGGATCACAGTTAGCTGAAGATGATCAAACAGTTGCTGATTTAAAATTAACCAAAGACACAGCTGTATACGTCTATGTACAACACCCCCACAAAGCTCAAGTCCACAACAATGCCATGATGCCTGCTTCCCAGCAACCGATAATTCAACCTCATAAAAATGTCCCTCACTTCTGTGATATCAAACCATTACCAGTGCCCATTGAAGAGGAGTATCAAAGGAGGCCACACCCTGATCCTCATTCTCACTCTCCCCCTCTTAAACCCGCGGGATGGGCATGTCCCAGCTGTACTCTTCAGAACCGGCCTCATCGTCTCGACTGTGAGCTGTGTAATGGTGCCCGCCCTAATGACTACCTTCCTCCACCTAATTTTGTACCTACTGAGGCCGAAAATGAATATATAAACAATAATGATCTACAAGAACTTAATAATGTGAGATTTTAAAATAGTATATTGAGATTTACTATAAAATATACTTATATATACTTTATGGAATATACTTTACTACTTAGTCAAATAGTTTTTGCAGTGTAAAAATCACTTGTGATAAGAATATGCATTCATACTTTGGAAGTTCCAGCCTTATAAATTACGCTATGCTTATGTACTGGCAAGGACATCCAAAAACTGACCACGTGTTCATACGTGGCATTGACAAAACAATAGGCGTGGTATTGAATTAATTTTAACCCTCATTATGTCCTCCAGAGCCTTCAGAAGACTAAGAGGTGATTCCTTTACTATTAAACTACCAGCAGGTACTGGAGGAGAGGAAGAGGATGAAGATGAAGAAGGAGACATTTCATTACAGCCAGTATCTTTGCAGTCACAGAAAAAGAATAAATTTAATCCTTTTGATATGGTATGACCTCTCACTGAATTAGCACAGTAGATTGGGTAATATCTAATGTGTATAAATTGATTCTGATCACAAATTTTGAGCTTCATAAGCCATATCTACTATGGTTTGTTTCTGAAATAGGGCATAAAGAGATTGATTGATCACATTTTCAAGAGATGTACATTTTTTATAGATGTACATGTATATATATCGGTGCTTTTTAGCAGAAAGTTTGAGCCAATTTTTATTTCGAGATGAAAAATTAAAAAATGAGATTTTTAATATGTATATTAGTAGTTTCATGTAGTAAACTGATATTATATTATACGTGTACTTTATAGTTGAATGATTCTAATGAGAGTCCACAGGAAGAGGAGGAGGAGGAGGAGGAGGAAAAAGAAGAACAAACATCACAAGTTGCTGTTACTAGTCAAAGTAGTTCTAGAAAGAAAAAGAAAAAGAAGAAAAGAGCAACAAATAAACAAAACCAGTCCACTCCAACTGTCTCCAATGAAGTAAGTACATACATTTAGATGCATAAAATATGCTATGCATAAAATACAATTCTTTTCTTTTTCTTTATTAATTATTTTCCTTAAGGATGAGGTTGAGGCAGCATTGAGGGAAGTTACTGATATGCTAGGGGGTCTGGAAACTGTTAGCTCATCTCAAGTAGAATCTAATAGTTCCAAGACTCCTTGCAACCAGAGACCATTGCTTTGTGTGGACAGAAGGTAAGAAAATTACCATGATAATAAATATGATTATTATCATTATTATTATTATTAATTTTAGAAATTTAAATGCTGAGAATGAAATGAGAAGAATATTTGGATCAAGAGTTGTGAGAGGAGAACAGACCAGGTACAGTATAACAGGAATTAGTTTTAGTTGCCAGATTCGTTTTTTGATTACAAATTTCTATTTTGCAATTTGATTGCTATTTGCATTCTTATAAAATGCATCAACATGGCTTGATGTACACAAATAACTGTATTAATTTTTTTAGTCAGAGAAGGCATCATAGAAGAAAGCATCAGAGACAGACAGTGTGAGTGAGATAGCAAAGGAAAGAGAGAGAGAAAGAGAATGAAGGGTTTATACATGTATGACGCATAAGATAATGGAAATAATCTTTTTTGTAGTTTGGCCACTCCCAAGGACACTTGGCCTCAAATCGAGAGATTGGGTAAATTTTTATGCAATGTTAACATGTGTTGCTTTAAACTGTACATCATTAGGACTATCAATGTCCTTGGAAGAAGTCAAAGACAGGTCAGTTATAGCTGAGGAGAAAGAGGGAGAGGGGGGAGGGGAGGGAGAGGAAGAGAGAGAGAGAGGGGGAGGGAGAGAGAGAGGGAAGGAGGGAGTGGGGATGGTAGGATACATGTACAAATGTAGCTATGAAATCATGATGAAATAGGGAGATACTTGCTATTATATTTTGTTTTTTTCTTTAGCTGTCATTATTTTAATTTTGAGCACAGTCAAGAGTATCAGAGAGTCCAGTTCAGTTTCTGGGATGCTGTTGATAGCTACGATCCAAACTCTATTGCCGTGCGTTGCTCTAATTATGAGAAAGAAATTATTTATTCTCTACTAGGCCGTGCTGCATGCTCATCCGTACCACATAGACTCTCTACTCCAATTAAGTGAAGTATGCAAGATGGGAGAGGACATGCAAATGGCATCTGAACTAATAGGTACATGTATATTGTATCCTAATGTCACATGACTGTCACGTGATATTGTGTCTGATTTAGAGAGGGCATTGTACTCATTTGAAAGCATATTCCATCCTCTTTTTAATTATACTCAAGATAACTGTAGATTGAATTACTCCAGAGCAGAAAACAGGTCAGAGAAAGATTTTAATAAGAAAAAGAGAGGGCCAAATGATTAAAATCTCTTTTATTGTTAGATCGTTCTTTCTCGTATTATTTCATCACATTAATTATGTTGGTACTAGAGGTTGTCATAGAACTGCCTTTGAGTTCTGTAAAATGTTAATGAGGTAAGAAGAGAGAGAGAGAAAGAGACATTCATGTACATGTACATATGTACTTGTACTGTTGTACATGTACATTTATGCCTCAATAAAATACATGCATAAAGAGAGCTGCACTGTTCTTTGTTATTGATTGTTATTGGACTATGTATTTTTATTCCTTCAGTTTGGATCCAGAGACCGATCCATTGTGTGTTCTATTAATGATAGACTATTATGCTGTCAGAGCCTGTGACTATCAGTTCCTAATTGACATGGACAAGAGATGGGGAGTAAGCTCTAACCACACACATTATTAGTGACGTATACAATTTACATGTACATTATTCAAAAAGCGCTTTAAATATGGAAATGACGAAATCTCAAAAGTTTTTCTCCATGTGTAATTCTGTGTCTTATTCTATTTTTTTCTCCTTCCTTCCTCCCCTTAGGCTAAAAGGAACTTGTCCCAGCTTCCTAACTGTGCGTTCTCCATTCCACTGGCATTCTTCCATCAGAGTCTCTCATTATCTGAGGATGAGGCAAGAGCTACTTCTCTAGAAGAAGCTGATCAGAAGCTTCAAGCAGCACTGATCATGTTTCCTTCAGTAAGCCTCTGTAATAGGCACTGGTTGTGGTTATACAGATTAGCATTTTAAAAACGAGCCATTTTTTTAAACGCAAAGGCTACAGCCCATGGTTTTTTAGAAAAATGGCTCCAAAATCACCCTCGATTTTTATTACATTCTCTGCTGTGTAAAAAGTTTGGGCTGACTCTAACAAATATTTTTTGAGTTATTAGCATTTTAAAAAATGGGCTAATGTTGAAAGAAGCAAAAGGTGTTTAGCCATTTATAGGGTTGAGATTTAGGGAGTGAGTGCATTTAGTGGAGTGTGTTATAATCAGTGGATATAGTGTATGCATGCACATGTATTACGGTACATGTATTTTGTATGTTTATAGTTATTGGTGCCACTCTTGGATAAGTGTGGAGTACATATTGATCCTTCTGCTCGAAATCATGCCTACTTCACATCAGCAAGAAAGTATGACTTCCTTTATTAACTGATGGAGTGTCTGTCCTACCTCATTAGGGATCCTGATCCATTGAAGCTATTAATAATGCTTTATATTGAGAGGGGGCACTCACTGTGGAAGGAACCTGAGGTTAGTAATGAAAGGAGAGGATGGGGAGGGATGGTACTAATGGAAAAATTTTGCTAAAGACCATGGATGCACTGTACCATAGTGCATGGTATTTTATAAAATGTTTGGAAGTTACTTGGGTACACATGATGTTTGTTCTTATTTGTGTATCAAATTTGAATTGATTTTGATCAAAATTAGATTTTATGATATTAAAAATTTGCTCCAAAATCAGGCCAATGTCCCTGCACAAGGTCTTTGACCAAATTTTGGCAAAAATGACTAGAAAAGAATTCTCCATTTTAATAATTTTTTCTGATACACATACATGTTATGCTGTGTAGAAAGTTTGAGTGGATTCTAATCAAAATTGGATTTTCTATGATATTTTGCCAAAAATGACTAGGAGAGAATTTTTGATTTTTATAATTTTTTCTGATGCACACACTTGTTGTTATGTTGTGTAGAAGGTTTGAGCAAATTCCGATTAAAATTGGATTTTTTACGATTTTTTAAAATTGCTCTAAAATCAGACCAAAGTCTCGGTACTATAGTACAGGGATTTTGGCCAAATTTTGCCAAAAAATGACTAGAAGAGATTTCTTCATTTTTATAATTTTTTCTGATGCACATACTTGTTGTTATGTTGTGTAGAAAGTTTGAGCAGATTCCGATTAAAATTGGATTTTTTTACAATTTTTAAAAGTTGCTTCAAAATCAGACCAAAGTCCCTGTACTATAGTACAGGGATTTTGGCCAAATTTTTCCAAAAATGACTAGGAGAGAATTCTTTATTTTTATAATTTTTCTGATGCACATACTTGTTGTTATGTTGTGTAGAAAGTTTAAGTGAATTCTAATCAAAATTGGATTTTTTATGATTTTTTAATTTGCTCCAAAATCGGACCAAAGTCCCTGTACTATAGTACAGGGATTTTGGTCAAGTTTCGCCAAAAATGACTATGTGAGAATTTTTCATTTTTATAATTTTTCCTGATGCATATACATATATTTATGTTGTGTAGAAAGTTTGAGCAGATTACAATTAAAATTAGATTTTTTAATGATTTTTAAAAGTTGATCCAAAATCGGACCAAAGTCCCTGTACTATAGTACAGGGATTTTGGCCAAATTTTGTCAAAAATGACTAGGAGAGAATTATTCATTTTTATAATTTTTCCTGATGCATATGCATATTGTTATGTTCTGTAGAAAGTTTGAGCAGATTCTGATTAAAATTAAATTTTTTATGATTTTTAAAAGTTTCTCCAAAATTGGGCCAAAGTCCCTGTACTGTAATACAGGGAGTCAAACTCATGAATCCCATCCTGTTTAGCTCACTTAGCATGCTTTTATGAGCAAGGAGTTTGGCCAGCCAATGGTTTGTCTGTATTGAGTAGGTTCTGTCATGGCTGGAGAAGAATGTCAAAGTTGTTATAGAAAGAGTGAGCAATGGGGACCCTCTTATCAAGCAGTGCTCTGAAAAGTATGAATAATCTCTTAGTAATAATTAATACTTCCCATAATTAATTAGGAGACTCAGGTGCTATGTTGGTACTCCAAAAAACATTTATCGTCACGTTGTCCTCTCAGACCTTGAATCAGTGAGCACTTCACTGCCACAAGTAAGAGAGAGGATGTGAATGGACCCCTCATACTGGTTCTGGTATTGTTAGGAAATTACAAGAACCTCAATAATGATGTATGACCCCCTACCACCCAAGGACAGCACTCGGGGCTACAAGTGTCCTTCAAAAAAGTAAATGTAATACTTTTAAATTGATTTTTAAAATATTAAAACGTTTATTAAATAAATGAAGTGTATGGTAGTGATTTATAGGTACATGTACATGTATTTTTATGCTCTGATTTTTCTCCATTAATGTTGAGCTGTGAATGATGAAATTAAACAATGAAAATTATTATTACTAGCAGTAGCAGCATTGATAGTCATTATTCTTTTTTTGCAGGAGACGTAATCCGTTAGAAAATGATGAGAGTCATCCATTGGCATTATTTTTAAGATCTTTATTACCAAGTTTTAACATGGAGGTACTGCAAACACACACACACACTCACAACTGAAAGACACAATAGTAGACATCAGTTTCATAATCCTAATGTGTCGTGTTGCTCAAAAGCTGTTTTTGATTATATTTGAATGTGTTTTGAATGGTCAAAACTCTAGGAATCATGATCAGAATTGTTTCAAATTTTTGCATAGCACAATACAGCACCATACAGTTAGAACTACATGTAGTTATTCAACTAATCTTATTAATGCTTAGTCGTTCAGATTTTCATGTATATACTTTCATGCTCATATTTCATTCCTCAATATTCCAGTCTCATACTCCCATTTCCCATTCCAATACCTAGGCTCCAGTTCCAAGACAGAGAGTTGCTGGTATACCTGAACAAGAGGCTGAAGAAGTACCAGCAGGAGGAGCTATTGGAGGTGGTGCAGGTAGAGAAAGACTTGAAGAAGCCATTGGACAATTGACTGACTCAGTTAGGACACTCCTGGAGACTATCAGACTTGCTATTAACAGAGAGGGAGGAGGAGAGAGTGGTGAAGAGAATAGTGACAATGATATTGATTGATTAATTTATAATATTTATATTAATTATTATTTTTCAGATAAAAATAATTGTTAAGACATCACTAAAATTAATACAATTACATGTATAAGAGAAAATAAGTTAATTTGATACACACTATAATTCTCACCTAACTACTATAATAGTTTTGATTGAAATATGCTCATAGCAAGGAAATGTTAAGATTGATACAACAGAACTTTCCATGACTTAGTATACACAAAGTCAGAAACACAGTCTCCTTCACCTTCCAGCCCAAATTTGCAATGACAAGGTACTAAGTAATCATTCCTTGATGTTGGCTTTTTTGATTTCATGATTCATTATACTGATCATGTACATATACATGTAAACGTACATGAAAGCTACATTACTGGTATAACATGCATATAGCCAGAAGTGTATTTTATTTATATTTACAAAAGTACATTTATTTCCTAAAACTTGACTTTGTTACTCACTCAAGTTAAAAAAAACAAAATATGCAGAGGGGGGGATAAAGATTAAAACTTAATGCGATTACATCAGTGAATGTATAGTTCACAATATCACCATCAGTTGAATTGACTATTGACCTAACAAACCACGGCATACCAGTAGAATTACAACAAAGAGACTCCAACGTACTGCACTGCAGCCCATCCCACAGTGGATCATCAGGGTACAGTCTACCATCAGTAAGATTGGCATCTATCGTTTCAGCCTCACAATAATAATCATTACCAACAAAATTTGGCATAGAATCCCCACTATAGTCACTATTGCAAGGACAAGAGGAAACATCAGATTCGTCTTCTGCATAACCAGCAGCATAGGTCCAGATATGCTTGCGTGGGTTGCTGCCATAAGTAATTGAGACACCATCAACATAGACTCCATCAATGTCTGAAGAATTAAAGCTATCTCCATATGAGCCAAACTCGTATCCTCTGACCTGCCCACATACTTCAGTATAGTTAAGTCCCATGGATGAAAAGAAAGTTGCATTGCATTGGGAGGTGAAGGAGA